GGGGGAACAGAAGCGCAAGTGGGGGAACAGAAGCGCAAGTGGGGGAGGAAGGGAAGAGCGATGAGGGGGGGAAGGAGGGGGGGGGCGATGAAGATATAAAAGAACGGAGAGGGAGGAATAAGGTGGAAAACAGCGGAGTTGTATGGGGGCTCGAGCGAGGGGAGGAGAGATGAAGTGTAGTGGGGGGGAAAAGAAGCGCAAGTGGAGGAAAGAGCGGTGCAGCGCGAGTGAAAATGGGGGCAAACGAGTAACGATGGGTGGGGGCGGGTAAGGTCATCGCACGTGGGAGGAGACAGCGGCGATGGTTGGGGGAGTAAGGTCACGGAAGAGGAGGAACACGGTATGTCCGACAATTTTGAGTAGAGAGATGAGATAAACAGGCAGGAAGACCGCGACATAGCGGGAGAGAAAAGCGGTAATGGATGAGATGGCGGGGGCTAATTGCGAAAGGAGTGGGGGAGCAATGATTGGGGGAGCAGAGGAACAGGCGCATGTAGGGGGAAGGGGGGAGCGGGTGAAATAGGCGCGGAATAGAGGGAGGAGGGGAAAGAGATGAAGAAGCGTGGGGGAATGAGCGCAGAATGCGGGAGAGAGGGAACCAGCGATGAAGAAGCGTGGGGGAATGAGCGCAGAATGGGGGAGAGAAGGAACCAGCGATGAAGGGCCGTGGGAGAATGGCGCAGAACGGGGGGAACAGGGGGTGAGCGATGAAGGCCGTAGAGGGGAATAGGCGCGGAATTGGGGGGAGGGGAGCGGGAGGAATAGGTGCGGAATGGGGAGAAAAGGGGAGGAGCGACGTAGGGGAATGAGGAGACAGGCGCGGAATTGGGGGGAGAAGAGGAGCGTAGATGACGAGGGCGGGGGAAATAGATGCGGAATGGGCAAGAGGGGAGAGGAGCGGTGAAAGGGCTGAGGTGGCGGAATGGGGGGAGGGAAGGAGCAAGCGAAGGGGGTTCGGGGGAATAGGCGCCGAATCGGGGGAGGAGGTGAACGGGAGGAATAGGCGCGGAACGGGGAGGAAAGGTGAGGAGAGATGCAGGGGAATGGGGAGACTTGCGCAGAATGAAGGGAGAAAAGAAGCGTAGATGACGAGGGCGGGGGAAATAAATGCGGAATGGGCAAGAGTGGGGAGGAGCGGTGAAAGGGCTGAGGGGGCGGAATGGGGGGAGGGAAGGGGGTTTGGGGGAATAGGCGCCGAATCGGAAGAGGAGGGGAGCGGGAGGAATAGGCGCGGAACGGGGAGAAAAGGGGACGAGCGATGCAGGGGAATGGGGAGACTTGCGCCGAATGAAGGGAGAAGAGGAGCGTAGATGACGAGGGCGGGGGAAATAGATGCGGAATGGGCAAGAGTGGGGAGGAGCGATGAAAGGGCTGAGGGGCCGGAATGGGGGGACTGGAGGAGCAAGCGAAGGGGGTTCGGGGGAATAGGTGCCGAATCGGGGGAGGAAGGGAAGAAGCAATGAAGGGGAATGGTGGAAATGTGCGCTGATCAGGGGCAGAAAGAGACGATAGGGAGCGAAGAGAATAGGGGCGTAATGCGGGGAGGACGGGAAGGGGGATAAAGCGCAATGGGCCAATAGGCGTGGGATACCCACGAAGAGGAAAAGGGGCAATAGGCGCGGCATGAGAGGAGGAGGGAAGTAGCGCTGAAGAGGAACGGGAGAACAAACGTGGAAGTGGAGGAGCAGTGGAGCATCCACGAAGGGGGGCGGGGAGAATTAGGCGCGGAATAGGGGAGATGGGGGACGAGTGATGAGGGGAAGTGATGGGGACTAGGCGCGGAATGGGGGGAGAAGGGGAGGAAGGATGAAGGGGAGTGAGGGCAATGGGCGCGGAACTGAGGGAGGAGGGGAGACAGTCATGAAGGGGCCGGGGGGGTTAGGCGCGAAGTGGGGCGAGGACGGCAGCATCCACGCAGTAGAGCGGGGGGAGCGGGGAGAATAGGCGCAGGATATGGGAGAGCCGGGACGAGTGATGAGGGGAAGTGATGGGACTAGGCGCGGAATGGAAGGAGAAGGGGAGGAACGATGAAGGGGAGTGAGGGCAATGGGCGCGGAACCGAGGGAGGAGGGGAGAGAGTCATGAGGGGCCGGGGGGAATAGGCGCGGAGTGGGGCGAGGAGGGGAGGAGCGATGAAGCGGGGGGGCTAGGCGCGGAATGAGGGAGAGAGGAGCGGAGCGTGAAAGGGACTGAGTGTGAATAGACGCGGAATGGGGGGAGGAGGAGCGACGAGACGGGGATTGGGGGAATGGGCGAGGAACATAGGAAGGAAGGGAGGAGCGATGAAGCCAATGGAGGAGTAGGCGCGGAACGAATAGAAAAGAGAGGAGGAGCGATGAAGAGGAATGGGCAAATAGGCGCGGAATTGGGGGAGGAGAGGGCTATCGATGGGTGAATAGGTGCAGAATGGGGAATAGCGGCAGGACGCGGGGAGGAAGGAAGGAGCGAGGAAGGGAATGGGTGAATAGGCGAGGAATGGGAGAGGAGAGAAGCAACAAAGAAAGGGGGCGGGGGTAGAATAGACCCGGAATGAGGGAGGGGAGGGAGGGGAGGAAGTGAGAAGAAAGAGGAGGGGGGGGGGAATAGGCGCGGAATGGGGGGAGGAGAGGAGGAGCAAGGAAAGGGGAGTCGGGGGAATAGGCGCGGAATGGGAGGAGGAGAGGAGGAAAGAAGGAGGGGGTGTTGAGAACGAGGCGCGTCACGGGGTAAGGAGCGAAGAGTGGTAGAGTGAGGAGGGGGAGGGGAGGGGGGGGGGGGGGGGGGGGGGGAAGGGGTGAGGGGTGAGGAGTGAGGGGAAAGAGGGACGGAGGTTGGGGTGGTAAGGCAGGGCTGGAGCGGGGTAAGTGGGCGATGTCGAGGAAAGAAGCGCAGGTAATAGAACCCAGAGCCACGGGTGAGGAGAGCGGGACGGGAAGAGAGAGAGAGAGAGAGAGAGAGAGAGAGAGAGAGAGAGAGAGAGGGAGAGAGAGAGAGAGAGAGAGAGAGCGGGCGGAGGGTGAATGAGGAAAGGAGGGAGAGACGTCGCGATGGATGGGTTAGAGATTCGGAGGGTTCAGAGGAGTTAGGGGCAGGGCTGGTCGAGAACCCAGCTGGCAGATGGCGCCGTAGATCGAGATCGCTCCTCGCAGGTGGCTCTGGTGGCTCTGGTGGCGTGGCTGAAGGTTCGGGCGATGGTGTTTCTCCTCGATGTGGCAGCATTTCTCCTCGCAAGTGGCCAGTCATGGCGATGGCGGCATCGCTGGATGGGTCGGCGGCCGTTCACCAAGTCCACGGCCTCTTTCCTCAGGCAGTGATGTCGCGTTTGAGTCCACCGGAGGCTAGGTCCCACACCGTAGATAGCAAAGATCAACGGCCGAGATCTCCTAATTTGCGCAAGTGGGACCTTGCCCCGGGACTCAACCCGACTACATCGCTGGCCTCCACTTACACCCCGATTTGGCCTGCTGGGGAAAATTGTCCGGACCGCGTGTAAAGAATGGCGCGGCCCCGAAAAAGTTCGCATCCCTGAGGCTGCGGTGTGCCGCGTTTTGGATGGACTGAAGGTCGATATTTTTGGCAGAGATTTTAGGGCAGCGACAGTGAAGACCACAGAGGACAGAGGAGTGCTTACTGTGGTGGTCAGCAGGAACTACCCTCTTCCCCCGAACGTGACGAAATTTCCAAAGTTTCTGAAAGCGCACTTCGAATACAACGCATATCCGTTGTGTCCGAAAGAAGGCATACGAGTTCTATCCGATTTTCTGAAGGAAAAAGCTGCTGTATACTCCGGGTTGTTTGTGGAGGAATTCCCGTATTCTACCACTAGCTTTCAGGATGTGACCCTAAGGGCATACTCAGGGCATACTCACACTAGCACTCACTCTCGTAAATCGTGTTCGCAGCCCTTAGGCTGCAGTATAGTGTGCTTCCACGTCTGTCAAGGTGTCGCATTTTTGGCGGTGGGCGACCAGGACGCAAAGTGGGTTTTTAGGGGGCAAAAACATTTGGGGGACCGGTCCTTGGCAAAATTGCGGACTACCTACAGCTAGCTCTTCTAGAACCGGGACTTTTGGAAAAAGGAAGGACCGGTCCTCGGGTGGAAGTCGACCCCAAAAAGAAGTGGGGGGCGTTGGACCGGTCCCCGGGTAGAAGCGGACCCCAAAAAGAAGTGCGGGCATGTGAACTGCAAATGGGCCCAATAGGCATTTTGCAAGAGGCAACTTCGGCGATTTTCTGTGCTCGGACGAACATGCACAAAATCTGAAATTTTGAGAATCCATAGATGAGGTCATGTTATTTCCAGAAATAATAATAGAACATTTACAAAAAATCATTTAATCGCCGCGCCGATTCGGCACATTTTCCATTTTTGCCACTCAGCGATGCCTGGGCCAACTAAAAAAGTACTCCAAATTCAGTGAGCTTTCACCTCAGAAGAATGCGTGAAAAAACCTGAAAATTGGAGTACTCGTAGATTTTGTTGTGATCTTTCCGGGAAAAATGCTAAATAAATTTTAAAAAATCATTCCAACTGCAAAATAGATCGCGGCCGCAATTTGACCCATATTTCAATTTTGCCATTCAATCTCTCTCTCTCTCTCTCTC